CCACTCCTCTCACCCGTGCATTGCTCTACTGCCTCCCATTGTCGCCTTTCCCCTTGCATCACTTCATCCATCACGTTCACCATGTGGATGTTCGTCGTCCTGTCAACGTTGATCGCCTTTGTTAGTCCACTCACTTACCTCCTCCTTTTTCCTTTCCTTTGCCTTTTTCATGTTCTGCATCTGGCCTGGGTACTTTAGCCCCATCTGGTTCACCATCCGTGCAATGCACCCTTTCATTGGCGAGGTGCACAGCTGCTTTTGTTTTGTCAAACAACACATGGCATTGCCATGGCTCCTTCTGGCCCTTTGTTATATCGCTTGGCTCTGGTGTGCGCTGGTGTTTACGACTAGTTCGATGTTTAAATTTGCACATTTTTTTGAGTGGCTTTTGACTATGCTTCTTCCATCTCAAATAGGATAGAAACCTGGCCACCTTCAAGGCTCCTCCTTTTGGCGTTCGAACACATAAAAACTTAGGATGTCCACTTCGGCAACTGTACACCACTATCAATCCCATATTCACACTCTCCGTCCGTCCGTTAAGTTCCAAAAACGCAGTCAAATTAGTAGGCCAAGTGGTGACTGTGGGTACGGAACTTGGCCAGGCAATCTGCATCCTTCGCTTCCCCCATCCGACTGTTTCCTTGCATATCCCTGCAACGAGTTGTACTGTTACTAGTCCATGGGTGGCATTATGGTTGCACCATTGGACAGACTGCAGGCAGACAGATAGACAGACAGACGCCCTTTTTTTGGGCAATTAATCATCATGGTCAAGGCAATAACATGTTTTCCACCTTAAAGCTCTGCCCCACTTGCTGGCCTCCAACTTCCATTCCCAAAAATGCACCTTTTAATGGTCAAAAGTTCGAACCTTAGGGAAGGTGTTTACCTGCCCTATACGGATCGTAAAAAGTTGTGTTTTGGACATAAGCGTGAGAAAGTTAATGAGTGTCAAGTTTGCAAGAAATTACAGACCTGTCAAACACTCAAGTTACGGGATGGGTGCACATGTGCGCCTGTATTTGTGCTATCATAACAGCCGACACCCTTCCCAATCTACCTCCATACCGAGCACATCCCTACAGTGCTGCCTAAAGGTCAAAAATTTGGTGGGAAGATGCGTGCCTAAGGTCAATAAACAAACGCCAACTGACGCCTTCCGACTATTTAAGCAACTATGGACAAGCAGCATTTGAAGGCAGCCAAAAAGCATCTTACTAGTTCCCCTTATCACTTAGGATGGATGGAAAGCGTCGAAATTTTTTTGAATTTGGCTACCTTTTTAGGTTAAATTGAACCTGAATGCAACACCGAAACAAAAAAAATATGCGGATTGATTGCAGTTAAATAAAGTTTCAATCTCAGGATCTGTTTTTTTTTGTTTTAATTACTGGTAACTCGAACTACGCCTTAATAGCCAGCTTCTATAGACACTTAAACCCCCCTGGTTTGATTCTCGTTCCTTCAAATAAACACTTCGTGAAGGTGGAAGTATATCTTAAACCCTTAGGCGCTCCTCTCTTTCCAGGAGTACGAATTAAAAAGTGCGGGAAGTGAGACTATTGTTTGCAAGCAGTGATTGTACTTAAAATCAAGTAACTTAGACGATGATAGTTGGTAAAAATCTGTTTTGACTCGCCAATCTCATCCCAAATTGGTATCTTTGGCGTCGCGCACATTAATTCAATATTCTGGATAAATCTGATTGGTCAAACCATTCGAGTACCCAGCTAGCGATTGGTTGGCTAAAAATCGGGCTTCGAATCAGGAAACCAGACATTTTATGCAAATTCTTAGGCTTAATCAGGAACATTGACTTTTGATACTTTAAAGCACTTGATACATCCCACCTGGTTTGACGGCGGAACTTCGTCGCAAGACAGCCAGTGGGTCCCGGTGGTAAAGTGAGAGTTTTGGGCATTATTGACCGATTTCGGTCAAAAATAGGTGCACCTAAGCCTTCACATCTGTTCTTCAGCCCACACAACATCACAAATCAGTTTGTTAATGGTTCTTATCGTACAGGGGGACAATTACTTCAACCCTGCCCCCTAGCCAGTCCAGCCTATTGCACGCCGGTCTGTGCGCGTGCACACTAAATAAATCAATACTTGGGTGCACCCAAAGGATCTGTTGTGTGCCGTTATGTGATTGGTTGCCGTTGGCTGATAGTTGACCAATCATATATCGGGTTGGTGTGGGGGCAGAACCCCGAGGAATTTAGATCTGGTTTGGGAAAGGAAGATCTCGACCTGCCTTCGCGCTTGTCTGTGTGTCAGTGGTGCTGTTGTTGTTGCTCTTGGCGACTTTGACTTTCGCTTTCGCGACCCTCTGCCAAAATGAACGACGTCAACGGTGAAACTTATTCCGACTCCAGTGCCTATTTGCGCGTGAGTAACTACCGCTATATAGAGCTTGCTTATAACTGCGTTTATTTACAATATGCTTGAGATCATCGGAATATTTATTACTGACCAGTTCATTGCGAAAAAGTTACTGACGTAAAAAGTACAAACCGATTTTCTTCTGTTGCCATATGAGCAGTCATTTTAAGCACGTTATGTAGATGGTTAGTGACTGGACTTTGTCCGTTGAGTCATATAGGTAGGTGAGTTGTTAAAAATCTATTCACCTTCAAGTCTCCTAGCATTCTCACAATCATAAAATTAAAGTAACTCGTATTTATTTTGAGGCGTTTGTCAGATCATGGAATCGCTGTATTTTGTACTTGCGTTCTTTCACCAAAAATGATACTTCCCACCACCCATAAATCAGTACGAGAATGTATGTTGATTTGGATTCTATCTGCTTAGTTACATGATTTTTTAGTGGGGTAATATTTTATATATTTCTTTTGTGCTAGACTTAACTAGGTATGTCTCGATGTGTGTCTATTTGTTTAAATGCTAGCGACAGCGATGACGACCTTCCCGTAATTTCATTCAGCTTCTAGCGCATGTTTGTTGGGGATTGCTGTTAAGTGTCTAATATTCAGAGAGAGGAAGAAGAACAAGCTTTGCATGCCCATGGGATAGACAACATGCACAGTGCGTGTGG